GAAGTTGTGGTAATTGTCTCAACACTTCCACCATTTGAGAGGTATTTATACCATAATAATCAACGCTAATACAGTGGAGTTGATCCTGATAGTAATTAACAAACAATGGCCAATATTTGAACTCATCATCACTCACTTTATCGTATTGTATGTCAAGTTTAGTCAGGGTTTTGACTAAAAGTTCGTTATTTTTGCTAAATATTGCCGATAAACTGGAAAATAATAGAGAAAGTTGGTTGAGCATTGTTAACGACTCGGCGTACTGTCTAATCGTATCATGATAATTATGGTCATCATCAAAAACCGACAATGAAGTCAATTGTGGGCCATATTTGCCCAGAGTTTTGTCATCATTTTTTGCCTCATTATCTTTGTATAGTATCATCACTTCAATTGCACTATTGAAACAAATATAAATATGATCAGAAAATCTTGAAAAGCCATATCTCACAAGTTTGATATTTGACAAACTGATCACATTTTATACAATTTATATAACATGTTAAATATATTCAAATAGTTTGTGAAATGCAATCATTTCTATGAGTTGTATGCATACAATGCAAGCGATTACTTGTTTATTATGATATTAAACACAAGTTTATAAAAAAGTCACTTTTCTACTAATGATTGTTAAATAAAAGCTATCAACATTTTCATTATGAATCCCATATTAGCAATTAGCAAGGTATTGCATGGAAATGACGCAAACATAGAGAATGTGCCAAAAGTTGTGACAAAACTTTTACATTAATGGCATTGAAATGCATTGAAAAGGCTTTCACGCAATGTGTGTACAAATCGATTGACATTTTGTAATACATGTCACAACATTAGTGTCTCAACACTAGGCCCTAAACCTGTATAATAAGTGTACGATTATGTCATTAAAAGGCAAACTGTGTTTTGAAAGCAAAGCCAATGAATGAGTGTTTGAATGGATTTATTAGTAAACAAAGCAATCGTTTGTCAAATATTTGAATCAATTTGACATTAATATTGAATACAATTGTAATTTCAAACTGTTTTGCACTACAATTGAATGCAATGCCAGTCGTTGTAAGTATTGATTGAATAACTAATCATTTTTGCAAACATACAGTCAATGAATGAAAGGTTGATCGCCGGTGCGTGCGATCAGTGATCAACCAATGAATGCATGAATACAATGAGTGATTATAATGAGTGTAACATATGATGACTGAATGGTGCGGTGATGTGAATGATATGACAAATGGATGATAAGAAAGCTAAATGTAATGATGTCTTGAAGGGTGAGATCGGTTTCAAACAAACATAGTATTAATAATAACTAACAGTAATACAGAATTTGGTTTTATTAATTCAAAATACAAGCAATAATATCGACATTACTAGCGCTCATATCTCATTGAAATAATAACTGAATTAAATTGTATACCTCCATTTGGAGATTAATATTTTGCTATTAAAAAATATATTTACTGTATTAATTACACAAAAATTGTATACAGTATATGACAAAAATAAAGTTACATAACATCATAGATTTTAACAAATTTTATTTAATGCACTACAGTCTTACATATTAAACAACCGGGTACGTAGCCATGGATGCTATACCGCACTGGTTGTCCTTATTACGTGCCATCATAACATAGCCATCTATACCCCATTCAGTGCCCCACGAGTTCTTCACGAGCCAGTACTCCTGACCGGTGGGTGCGGTGCCGTAGCCCACCACCAGTACCGCGTGATTGATCTCATCAGCCGTGCACAGGGGGAAGTCAAACACCCCTCCCTCGTACTGTTTCAAATAGTTAGCGTTTATGCCCACCGATATTGGCCCCACCGTTGCCACCGCCGCCTTGAGTAGCTCCTCATCGCCCTCCTGTACGATACCGGCACCGGTTACCTGTGCGCCCACAGCCGCCCGACTGAACCGACAAACGCTATCCTATAAATTAAATGATTGTTTTAAAAATTACTTTTAATTATACTGATAAAGTCAACATAAATAAATTTATTATAAGCTAAAGCGTATAGCTTAAATTATATTTGTTTAATATCTCAACTAGGGAATTGTCTGTTTTTATGTAAAATGATGGCTATATTTGTATTATTATTTTATTTATGAATATTAGATAAATGTTAAACAAATACCTGTTCCTCATAAGGATAGGCTAATTCCTGATCGATTCCACCATTAAGTTGAATGTACACATAAGCATAGATAGGTAGTCCACCATTACATCCCTTGTTATATAAGCGATCACAATCGACTAGATTCTGCTCGGATAGGGATACCAATTGTCCGCTTTTCTTGAAATGCTGTCCCTCCAGAGCACCCGTCTATGAAAATAATAAAGTATTTAAAATATAATTATAAAACTGTTTTCAATATAAATACTATTTATGGACATACCGTTGAAAATGCCCAACAGCTACCGCATTCACCTGTTTAATATATCAAGCACATTTTACATAAATAATTGTTGTTAATTTTATAAGTATAACCAATACATACCCTGATCCTTAACAGGTGTGACCAGGCCATGTGGGCGCCAATCAACTTCACTGCCAACAACAGCACCGTGTGGTACGGCATATCGGGTGCCATTGAGGGGCCCTTTCGGTACGATTAAGCCATTCATTTGTTTGTTGAATTCATCGGCGGATAAGTCACTGTACTTATTGATGCCCAGAGTATAGCCAACCAAACCATTTTGTGCCCGAGCATTGTGTTCATCAACTATGCGCTTATTCTCCACGAATATGTTTAGTCGGTTATTCTCATCATGCTCATTTTGGTAGCTTTTTCCATGTTTAGTCTTGAATGCCTCCCATTCCCGCATAAGTGCGGCGTCTGTTTTGTAGTGAGCATTGAGACCCTGAGCGATATTAATGCCAACAATGGCTAAATATGCCAACAAAACCACTGGGTTCATTTATGTTGCTTGAATAAAACTTTTTAATTTTTACAATTAAACTGTTTTCCAGCGTTGAATAATCAGTTTCAGTTTTAGTTTATATACCTTTTTTGTGGCAAGGCAAATCTTAATTTAATTTGATGATATAATTTTGTGGCACATGATTTTGATATATTTATCCATAATCTTATAAAAATGCTTCACCTATTCATTGAACTTGATAAGAATTACTTTTACATGTATGAATTCATATGAAATAGGAACTTTTTTAAGATAATATAATATGATGATGATGCTTTAATATCAGTATTTTCTCCGTATGTAATGAATTTAAACATGATTTTTATTTTAAAGTAAAAAAGATCGTTTTAGAACATTTTGGACGCATGTAACCGTCCTAGTACTAAAACAATCGTTAATATGCCTAGAGCACTGTATATGATAAGTAATCCAGTGATAAATTAAGTGCTTATACTTAAAACCTAAATATTTTGCCCAAAGTTTTATAATAATTGTACTAATTATAATCTATATAAGGACATTTTCATTATAAATATACATTACACGCTTACATAACGTGTGAACCACTTATAACGATATAACATATTCACATAATCATATTGCACAAAAGTTAGTAGATTAGTTTATTGAATTAATATGTGAGTACTATGTGTTACAAGTTTAATATAATTATATATACAGTAATAGAAATGTACTGTATTGATACTGGTAGTTAATATTAGTTTATAATTTATAAAATTTATAAATTAGTTTTAAAAATCATTTAAATTGTGATATATTAAAACAGCCATGTATGCTCGTTAATATAGATATTATTATAAATCTAATAATTTTAGAAAATTTTTGTAATTTAATGCAACAAAAGTAATAAAATAATTACACTTATAAATGAATTTGAATAATATAAAACAATACTCTCATGAATACTTTATCAACTCATATTGGCATATTTATTTTTCCATTTAATTGTAATTTATTGTTTTATCTTAGTCAAATTTCTATTACGTAGAAATATAATGCTTGCGTAATAATAAATATATTAACTATGAAGAATTATTTTTAAAACTAATTTTATTTTTAATAACTGTAAATGTTGTGGTTAATTAAAAGTTGTTAATAAAATGTACCATGGTGTCGACACCTCAGTGCGATCTCATAAAAGACCTGTTAGATGGCGTCGTAAACACGACAAAATTATTACGAAATTATGTAGAATAATAAAGCTTACTTTCAGACATACTTTTTGGCCATCTGAATACAGCCAAAGGCAGGGAGGGAGTGGCTTATACCCTTATCTCTATTAAAGTAAAAAAATGCAATAAATCTGGTGCCGGTTTTACACCCTAAAACCCCTCCAACCCCAGTATACCTTTTTTATGATAAAATTATTATATTCAACTGGTAAATTAGTTAAATTAACCTTGTTTGAAATAAATAAAACAGTGAATCTAATTAAGTAATTTTAAATTGAATAATCTTAATTTTGAACTTAATCAGCAAATAATTCAATAAATTAAGTTTGTTTTTAATAAATTAATTTAATTTTAAATTAAATTAAATAAACCCGTTAAATTTTTTACACAATCAAAAAAATTTAAGTAGGTTTAGTAAATATCTACAAAAATTTGAACTTGATTAAGCATATAACGAACAAAATGAAGTAAATTCAAACTAAAGTGTGAATTTAAATAAATAATTATTGAACTATAGTTGAACTATAGCAATAACTAAATTAACTTTATATTATACACAAATAAGGTAATTTTGCACTCAATAAACTAAATTATAGAATTATAGTTTCAGTATTCAGTAATATAATACATTAATTTAATGATAGAAAATAATTTAATTTTTGTTATGGCGATTTCAAAATTTATTTAATATTTTGTTTAATTTAGTTTAAAATTTAGTTATTTTCATTCTGTATTTGTTGATTTAGTTGACAATTAAGTTGTTTAAGTCAAAATACTTAATCTATTAAATTATTTAGCTAATTGTGTACAAAATGAACCTAATTGGGTATAATATTAAGATAATTTAGTTAACATTTACTAAATCTAGTTTAATATTTGTTGATATAGATTCATAATATAGTTAAAATATACTCCATTTGGTTTATTATTTGTTTAATCAATTTCAAATTTTTGTAGATATTTACTAAACCTACTTAAATTTTTTTGATTGTGTAAAATTTAAGGGGTTTATTTAATTTAATTAAAAATTAATTAGTTTATTAAAAATAAACTTAATTTATTGAATTATTTGCTGATTAAGTTCAAAATTAAGATTATTCAATTTAAAATTACTTAATTAGATTCACTATGTTTTATTTATTTCAAACAAGGTTAATTTAACTAATTTACAAGTTGAATATAATAATTTTATCATAAAAAAGGTATACTAGGGTTGGAGGGGTTTTAGGGTTTAAAACCGGCACCAGATTTATTGCATTTTTTTACTTTAATACACGCTATGTTAGGATATGCCTGGCTTATGCCTTGCTACATAATCCGATGAAGCAAATCTATGCTTTCAGACCAGTAATTTCATATTTATTAGCCATGAAATGTTTTAGGATAACATTTCAGTTTTTGATTGTAAATATTATTTTAATAATTAAAATTAAAATTAATTAATAATTAATTAAATAATTTTAAAAAATAAATGCCTGTCTGCTGATTATAAATCATACGTCAAATATATGCAAAACAAGACAATACCTGTGCTCAAGGAATTAAGTATGCTACAATTCTCTCTCTCTCTCTCTCTCTCTCTCCCTCACTCACTCACTTAAAAACATTAATTCACATAATAGTTAAACAATGGACATACCAACAGTGCAATGAGTTCGGGCACTTCCCCACCACTGCCCTTAACGACCAGCCCTTTGCCGCAAACATACCGATCGAGTACTTCACCCAACGGTGTGCCGACATATATGGGCCCACATTTACCCCGCAATACATGCAAAAGCAAATCGATTACACGAATGAATATTACGGCACTATTAGTACAATCAATATCACAAACACTGTGTTTATTAACCATTCACTGGATCCCTGGCACCCATTGGGAGTATTACATGATTTAAATAATAGTACCAAGGCAATATATATTCATGGTACAGGGC